AGGATATAGTAGAGAACTCAGATCAAGACAGTTTTGCTTCTTCCTATAAAATTCTGGCGAATATCGCCAACTGGCCAGCAAGTAGACAACACTCTACTTTGGACGAGCTTAATATCTTTTGTGACTCGAGGTATGGTTAATGCAGATTCTTGTTGTGCAAGTCAAGGATTCTGTGTCCAGCAACATACACACGAGCAATGTTACGATCATCACCAGTGTAAATGAATTTCTGCACCTTGTCTTCCACTGTGTCCTGGAATGTAAGTATTATTCAATATAATTAAAGAACAAGTACTACTGGTGTAACCTGATTAAGCAATAAGTAATAAACTGATTATGAAATAAAGTAATATGATTATAAGATAAAGTAATAGATAAAACTTAACTAATACAAATTAGTATACTTTTTCATCTAAAATGATTAGAGTCAATCAACATAGGATGATGGTACGACATTCACATTATTTATCTAAACCTTACCTTGCTGAATATATCAATAGCTGACCCAGGGGCTGACACATCAATAAGGAGTGCATCAAACTCTTTATCAATTTCAAAGTTTCCAATGCGGTCTTCCATATTCAGTACTGTGGAAAAAAGGTAAAATATCATACACATACCACTGAACATGGAAAAAAATTACATTATGCACTTCAGGATTGATTATGACAGTAAAACATTCATGTAACTTGCATGCATAGCACTAAATCAGTAAAACACATCACTTGGTATGGGTATATGTACCTTTAGCACCTCCAAGAGTTGCCATTCTAAATGCTTCCTTGTATGTAATTCTCTGATAGTCTTGATCTCTGTCAAGAGCCAAGATGTTGGAAACTTGCAGAGACTGTCGCATGGAATCTAAAATTGATGGACAGTAACCACCCGAGCAATCTGGAGGAGTAAAACATGCTTCTTAGATTCCCTTGAACCACAATTCATAATCCAAGATGTCTAGAACTGAAATGCACACTCCAAGAAGTTTCAGCTGTATGTTCTAAAAAGGATATAAGAATTTGCTTTAACAACATGAATATCACAAGAATGCATAATGACAGACATGCTGAATTTTATCCCTCTTCAAAGAGTAAATAAAATATAAATAAAAAGTGTGAGACATGTAAATTTTACCTATTTTTAGATGAAATAAAATTCTATTGTAATTCCAGACATACCTGTCCCTAGACCGACTTTTAATCCACTATTCAAAAGTCTCCGAATATCACAAAGGCCAGAGCGAATGGATACATTGGAATTTGGGCAGTGAGAAATACCAACTCCTCGTTCTCGCAAGGTATATATCTCATCATCAGTTAGCCATATACAATGTGCCATGACAGACTGGAAAAAAAGAAAATAAATGAACATATGATCTTACTTCATCAGCAGAAGCAATTTTATCATTGAGATAAAGCTGCATTTTGATATTACGAAAAATAATATAAATGTATCAAGTCCAATGCAGACTGAAAAAATATCACCTACCTTCTCACTAAGTAGTCTCATGCTGTCATAAACATCAGTGTATGATTTGGCCCAAGGGAAGAGCTCTTTGACCCAATTACACTCAGGCTGAGTCTCACACAAGTGACTTTGAATATGACATCCATATTTAGCTGCCAGCTGTCCTAGAGATGCTAACTGATCCTCAGGGCAAGTTGGGGCAAACCGGGGTGTAACAATAGGTTGTACCAGTGGGGACTGTAAATAAAATAAAAGATAAACATTCTGGTAAGTATCTTTCATAAATAAGATATATTTTGTCTTCAAAGTGCCCAATTTGGATATCTTATTATTATATCTATTTAAAACAAAGACAAATTGTAGACAACAGTACAATATTTGCAATTAATGTTTCTTAGATTCAGAAAATAAAGCCTCCTACTTGCCTGGATACTTCTAACATATCGTATAAATTCTTCCGTGTCTCTAATTGATTCCTGAACACTCATCTCCCGGTAATACTCTGGGCAGTTCCTCATCATGTTAACTTTTCCAATGAGTGCACGCTGACCTTTGTCATGAACTACATCAGCAAGAATTTTTGAACCTTCTAAGTGGATTGTGCCAAAGTATGCTGCTGTTGTTGTTCCATTTCTCAACAGACGTTCCTGTAAAATTACAAAGCTATGTACACACACTTTTCAAAGAAAAAATGAATCCAAGTATAGTACAAGAAAGCCAACAGAAATTTGTAGTGTAACATATTTTTTGAGCAAGAATTACAGGTAAATATAATAACAAACATTATAAAGGAAAAAAAAAAAGGTAAAAAATACAAACCACAACTTTGCTATAGACTTCTCTTGCAAAAAGTGTGTCTGAAAAGTTAGCTTCGGTGGGGAAAGTATACGTCTGTAACCACTCCAGCAATGGCAAGTCCATAGCCACTCCATTGTTAGGAAACTGAGAAGCATGTATATGTGTGTCGATCATCCCAGGCATCATAAACTGGCTGTTATTTCATAGAGAAAAAAAGGCTTAATATAGCTTCATTACAGCTTGAAATACAACACTAATTCATAATGAACATCACACCAAATGTTAAGAAGGAAGGCATTTTTACACAACAGCATTACTCTAAATTAATTACCTTGGAGTCATGTAGTGAATGTTTGAGTCTGTAAAACCATACACTCAGGTGATCAAGTTCTTCTAAGCTCTCCATAAACTCAATCTGTTAAACATGAAATTAAATAATTATCACACTTTAGAAATTCACACATATTTAAATTTTTCCTCTTTCCAGTCCAATTGCATTTAGTCTTTCTTCAAACTGACAAATACTGTCTACCTCAGATGAAATATGGTAACTTTGGTGAAAGAAAGGAAAAGCCATTTCCCTGATTCTTTTTCATCCATTTGCTTACTACAAATCAAATTCTGGTGCTAATTTTTCCTTTTATTGTTTTTTTTCTTGTCCTCTATGTATACAACTGAGCTTTTCTATCATATTAGTGCTCACAGACAGTTACTCTAATGGTGCCAGGTAATCACTCTGTCTACTGTCTTTTTTTTGTTCATTTTCTTTGCACATATATGGCTCCACAAATGCTCAGCCACTAAGGAGCCAATTAGTAAGCCTACATGAACTAAGCTGTTTTCTACTTCCCTTGAGTTTTTGAGAAAATTTTTTTCTAATGCTATAATTAATTTGTTAATTATTGTTATTATTGTAGTTAACATTACAATGATCAAAGTATATAACAACAGACTACTATAAAAGGAGGATAAATAAAAGAAAAAAGAAAAAAGATAAACAGATGAACTAGGTAAGACTAACAACTGACTCCTTGGTGATGAAGCACTTGTGGAGCCATTTATATGTAAAGAAAAACAAAGACATAAAAAAAAAAAGGACATGGCATGGATTACTGCCATCCTGTCACTAGAGTTTGAATATGCTTTTTCAAAAATAGCTACAAATGTGCCATACACATCAATGAAACCCCATCTAATGGTGTGTAAAGAGTGAAAATTCCCCTTGCTACTGAAATAAAGATTCCAAGCAATCAGGGAGAATAAATTCATAGTTGAAAGACTGACACAAAAAATGAATGATTTTTTTTTAGATGTCCTCACCATAGATGATATTACTGAAATATTCCAAATGTTAACCTTGCCACAGAGTCAAGCAGAGGGATTTATATACATATATTATACCCCCCCCCCCACACACACACACTATTTTTTTTTCTCATAATACAATTATAAGGCAGATAATTCTACAGTAGTTACCTTTGTGTTGAGAAACACCCATAACCATCCCTGGCATGATGATTAATGGGTTGTCTTCAGTAGAATGAACAAAAATGCCTACAAAAACCTCCATGTCTGATCTAGCTCTCTGGAAAGACATTTGAAATTTAGATGGTTAACCCATGTTCTGACATTTGGTGTAATTCAGATTAAAAAGTATAATACCTCTTATGCACTTTGTCATGTAGTGACTTGCATAATCTTTTTATATTCATATGAATAACAGGAACTGAAAATCATACTGAGCACATATTTATAAATTTATCTTCAATCATTCAAATCAATAATGAACACTGAACTCATAAAATAGCTGAATTACAGAATTAACTTACCAGCTTTGACTGACAATTCTCCATTATTCTGTAAATTGTACTCTTACTAATATTAGGAACATCGGGATTCAAAGACAGGAACCTATTTCTTGTTCTTCTATTGTGATGTCCTCCTTTTGGGAGAGGATATCCAGATCATGTGCTCATGCTCATCGGATAACTTTTTCTTACGTCCCGTTGAAGTCTTCCGTTGGATTCTGTGCTCTTCTTGAAGACCTGAACAACTGATGAGACTGTCGACTTTGCCAAGTGCATAAAATCTGCGACCTCTCTTATGGTTCGATTCTCATTGAAAAATAGACTGGAATTGTGAGAAAGAATGGTGTAGTGTTACACTTGTGACCAATTTATGTAATATTTCTTTTATTTTATTTATTTTTTTATTTTTATTATTATTTTTTTAAACAAAATATTCCATACCAACAATAAACAAATAATTTCTAAGACAAACTAAAAAAGAAGAGGGAAAAATGCTGGTAAGAACCATGAACAAATAACAAATAAACATCCAATAAGGCATCTCTCAAAAGACTTCCCTGGGTAAAGATTCCGTACATTTAACATAATACAAATGAAAAGAACAAAATGAGAGAGAACTGAATGTGGAAGAAAAGGAAAACAAAAAAACAAAAACACACACACAAAAAGAGGAAATTAGGAAAAAAAAAAAAAAGGAAAAAAAAAAAAAAGGAAAACACTGACCTAATAATCATCTCCCTCTCAGCAATAGACAGTGACCGTCGTTGTCTACTGATATCTTTATCGGCAGCACTTGTTTCAATGGGTCCGCTTTCCCCATAATGCTAACACTGGGCTCAAGCACATTGTTCATGGAAGATGATTCTGACCCCGCACCTGCCTTCTGGAACATGGGCTAATAGCAACACCCGCTGGTATATTTTGTTGGTA